TGGTCTAAAAATATTCCTGCATGCCCTTGGACATGCTCTTAGGAAAAGATGGAATGTAAGATTTGATTAGAAATACAAATTCATCAGAATTCTAAATTCACCTGAAGGAATACAAAGAAATGACTATTTGTGTCTGTGAGAGTCTTACAAGAAAAACAAAGCCACCAGGAGTGATCCTGAAGAAGGGATTTACTATAGAGATCTGACCTTTCACAACAGTGGAAGCTGGTTAAATAACCCCAGGAAGTCTGATGCTTCTGTATCTAAAACGGAGGCTGCAAGCCAGCAAGGTGGTCTCTCTGCAAGTGGGGATGGGTACACCAGGAGTAGGGAAAACAAGGCTGAGCTGGAACCCACAGGATAAACTGGGGTATACACACCTATGACCATTAGGACTCAACCTCAATGATGTGAATGGCTTGCAGAAAGGCTGGTGGTTCTCTTCTTGAAAGTGAAACACTGCACACACAGACACACACACACACACACACACACACAAACACATCTGACTGCAAGTAGCTGAAGGAGGAGCTCTGGAGAGTGCAGGAGGTGCTGTGGGCGTGGCTGTAACTGAACACCACCAGCAGAGCAGCCAGCACTTCTTCCACAATCTGCAGGAGGCCCCACAACACAAAAACCTCATGTACATGAACCCTCTCAGTGTGATCATGACTACTTCACTTCCACCTTCTAAGTCCTGCAGAATTGTCTCCTGTGGACAGCCCTAATGCAGAATCATCCTGGGAAGGGAATTCTGGGAAACAGTACTAACTTTGCTAAACTGATGTAATACAAAACCACCAGGTCTTGGTAAAATTCCTTGATGTTTCACTGCCCTGTACCTCCACAACTGGTAACAGTAGATGCTCTGATAAGTCATTTCCTCGTTTCAACATAGCTCATTTCTTATGAGAAAAATTGTGATTAGTACCTTTACTACATAAGCACCTTAATTATTAATTAGTACATAAACACTTTTATTAGTAAAAGCATTACACATCTAAGGATTATATTTATTCTTATGTGAATTTCTAGCTCTCAGTATGTGTGACATATATCTGATGAATTGAAATTAAAAAATTTACTTTGAATAAAAAGATGCATTTAAATTCTACACTAGGAACAACTGTGAAGACAAAAATATAAGCTACATAGTGAGGAAAGAACATTTGCCAACAGCATACTTAACAAAGGACACGTACTTAGAATGTATAAAAAATTTTAAAACCCAGCACACACAAAAAAATTCATTTAGAAAATGGACTTAAGACACAAGGGCACGTTTTTGCCAAAGAGGAAATTCAAAGGGCAAACAAGCACAAGAAAATATATGTAATAGTATTGGCCACTAAGAAAATAAAAACTAAATGTAGTGATATACTACTATCACTACAATAAGAAAAGGAGCAACAATACCAAGTGCTGTCAAGGAAGCAAGCAACTGACTTAGTCATACACTGCTGGTACAAATGTCTGGAAAACAGTTTGGCAGTTTCATAAGGAATCAAACATGCAACCTCCATACGATGATGTTGTACTCCTATACATTTCCTCCAGAGAAATAAAAATTTATGTTTATACCAAAACCTATAAATGTTTAGAGCAACTTCATTTTAAATATCCAAAAACAACTTAGATGTTTTCAACAAATGAATGGTTAAATAAACTGTGGTATATCTATGCAATGGAATACTACTGAATGGTTAAAAAGGAAAAAACTACACACACATGCAACAATCTGAATAAAGCTCCAGAGACAGGTTGAATCAAAGAAAGCCAATCTCTAAAAATTATATACTATATGATATAAACAATATTGAAATGGTAAAATTACAGAGGTGGAAAACTATTGGTTATTATGGATTAAAGTAGGGGGAGTTATGGATTTGGTGGTTGTTATAGATTAGGGGTTCATCACTATGGTATGGATCCTTGTGATGGAATTGTTCTGTATCTTGGCTGTGATGGTACTCTTAGAAATGTACAAATCTGAAAAAACTGCATAGTACTTAACAAAATTTAAAGAGTACATGTAAAACTGGTGAAAGCTGAATAAAAGTAGATGGTATCAATGTCAGTTTCCTGGTTGTGCTATTACACTTCAGTTATGTAAGATGTTACCATTGAGAGAAAATGGATAAGAAGTATATGGGATCTATATTATTACTTACAACTGCACAGGAATGTACAATTTTCTCAAAATAAAAATGTTTTCTTAATGAGTATGAGTCTCAAAGATATATGCTCAAACAAGCATAATTTAAGATATGGTTAAAATGGTTTGCACATATTTAAAGACCCTCCTGAATTGTGTTTTCATCATCTACCTAAAATAAATATCATAAAGACATCGTTTTGTTGTTGTTGTTGATGTTGTTTAGGGTACTGGGGATTTAACTCAGGGGCACTCAACCACTGAGCCAAAGTCCCAGCCCTATTTTGTATTTTTTAGAGACAGAATCTCACTGAGTTGCTCAGCGCCTAGCTGTTGCTAAGGCTCTCTTTGAACTCCTGATCCATGTAAAGAGTCAAGGTCAATACTTGGTTCATATTGAATAGCTAATAAATGTGACTTTCTGCCCATCCTTGCAGCATTAAGAGTTGTGTGAGACTAAAGTCACTGATGCTCTCCAGCTTTAAGCTTTTGCATTAGGAGATGCCATTTCCCGCCCCCCTGACTGTGTGAAGAAAGCTGTCTTATCTTATTTAAATCAATGCAAGTGAATAAAGAAAGATTAGTTAATTTTTTCTTTCTGAATAGGCACCTATCCATTTCCAACTAGCACCATGTTGCTCTCTATATATGCAACTCAGTCTTTGTAAAAATAAAAAAATATATATTTTATAGCAAGTAACATTAAACAAAGAGCAATGAATCTTATATACCAAGCTGCTTTTTCCAATCAAAGATTACTAGAAAGGAAAAGTTTCTTCACCTCTTTCCCTTCTTTGCCCCTACTCTGCCAACCCCATTACTTCTCTTTATCAATGGCTTTGCCCCCTTAATTAGTCCCTTCCTCCATTCCTCTCTCCTCTGTCCCTGCCTTCTCCACTGTGAATTTAAAATTTTTAGGAAGACCTGAAAACATTCTCCCCCACCTCCAGCAAGTGGATAAAGGAATTTATTTTTTTTCTCTTTTTTTTATTGGTTGTTCAAAACATTACAAAGCTCTTGACATATCATATTTCATACATTAGATTCAAGTGGGTTATGAACTCCCATTTTTACCCCAAATACAGATTGCAGAATCACATTGGTTACACATCCACATTTTTACATAATGCCATATTAGTAAATGTTGTATTCTGCTACCTTTCCTATCCTCTACTATCCCCCCTCCCCTCCCCTCCCATCTTCTCTCTCTACCCCATCTACTGTAATTCATTTCTCTCCTTGTTTTTTTTTTCCCCATTCCCTTCACAACCTCTTATATGTAATTTTGTATAACAATGAGGGTCTCCCTCCATTTCCATGCAATTTCCCTTTGGATAAAGGAATTTAAACCTTCCTTTTTTTTTTTTAATGGAAAATGCTCAACCCAGGGACCAGGGCAGTGGTTTTTATAAGTCTAGCATACCTCATACTTAAAATCAATCAACAATGCCCAATAATAAAATTCAGGTCCATCTAAACATGAAACATTTATATTTGGGCTATCTAAATAAATTTTAAGAAATATTTGGAAAACCAGAAGAGGGAGGAACTCACTGAGTGGCTAAAGTTATCTTTCCATTGAAAACCACCACAACTTTTCAAGAGGTCAATGTTTACAAATTATTCTCTTGAGAGTCAAATGTGTATTTTCTCACCCTCTTTAAAACATTAAACTTTCAGTGGAAGGATTAAGTCAGAAGCCCATGCATTGTTGCCAATTGCCATGGTTTCCTTTTCTAAGTCATCAGAGCCACCTGTCAAAGGAGACCTAGTTCAGCAGGCCAGAACAGGCTTTCAAACTGCCAACCCAGTCTCAAATGATCATTACCATAAACCCCAGTTCCTATTACACCCGTTGGAAAACACTTAAAATGCTGATAATACCGAAACAATATTATTTCAACAGTTTCTGTCCGGCGCATTGAAACAAGCTTAAGGGCTGAGCCAAATTATAAGGGGTGGAGTCATCAGCTAGTGATGTAGAAGATAGCACTTCTTTCAAATCAGCCCTTCTCTCCTTTCTGTATTAGCCCTCTTTTTAAATTCAAGAAAATACTCTACCCTATAAAATCCTGGTGTACTTTCGGTTCCCTTTACACTTATTCACACTAGAAATGCTGAATCATGACTCCGGGTTGTAAAAGAAAAACTATTTCAGCGGGGACCCCAAGATCCCCGGAGGATTCCACGCGTCTGCATTCCTTTGCTTTGCACCTCCTCAAGTCCATTTCCAGAGCTGCTTGGCAGACTAGAGAAGCTCTGGGAGCAGACAAGAGGGAGAAGGTCGGGGTGAGGTGGCCTGAGAACAATCTTCTCTCTCCCCTGCTTTTTCCCAAACCTACGCAGTCCTAGCAGCTCAAGGCTCCCTCCTCCTCCCATCTTAATGCGTTCCCAGAGGGGCTGACACACTCCTCATCGGCAAAGCTACCCAACAGCTTCTGAGAAATTCCCAACTTGGAAGCATCGCCACTGCCGCCACCCCTCCAGAACCCAGTGGACCCGCGCTGGTCCCATTTGGCAGCCACCGGGCAAGGACCGGGGTGCAAAGGGGCCTCATCAGTTGGCCCCTAGCCCGGCCCAGAGAAGCCCGCCGAGAGCGCACACACTTGAGAAACTCGATCCCAACTCCCCAGCTCTAGCCTCCCGAACCGCCCCAGGAGCGCAGAGAAGCGAGAGCAGGACCCGAGCGCAGAGTAGTGTGGACAGGCTGGAGAAAACGGAGGCGTGGAGGGAAAGGGCGGCAAAAAAGAACGCCCGCCTAGCCAGTCCTGGAACTTGTCCTGGCCCGGAGAAGCAGTGAGAATCGGGGAAGACTGCGGCAGCGAGCGCGAAGAGAGGGACTCACTTGAAGGTGAGGACGCAGAGCGGCCGGTAGGACTTGTGGCTGGTGTTCTCGGCCATGCCCTTGCCCCAGAAGTCGTTGGTGAAGATGCCCCAGCGGAGCGGGGCGCCCGGCCGCACATCGGGGTTGTTCACGATCGCCCACACGTCGTCGTGCACAAACTCGCCCTGCAGGGAGCGGCCGTAGCACAGGCAGCTGGCCCCCGCCAGCAGCGCCGCGGCCCCGGCCGGCGCCAGCCCGCAGCCCGGCCGCCGGGAGGGCGCGCGGTTCCCGCTGCCTCGGGCAGAGGTGGTCACCACCATCGCGCCGCCGCCTCCACTGCTGCCCTGGCCTCTCCCGGGCGTCTGGCATCCTCCCCTGCGGGGGCCCGCGCGGCGTGCGGCGGCAGCCTGGAGGTGGGCTCCGGCATGGTGCGGCGGCAGCTGGACCAGCCGCGGGCGCCCCGCGCTCCGCCGCCGCCTGCGCCGCGGAGTTGGCCCAGCTGCAAATAAACAGCAGTCCCCCCGCCTCCCCGGGCCATCGCCACCTCCTCCGCCCCACTGCGCATGCCCGCTTGCTCTCGCCTCCGCCCCCCCAATCCCGGGACTCGAGCCGATTTCCCCCAACACCTGGCACCTTCGGCCCCCTCCCTGGCTCTCTGCTGGGCTCAGCCTGCGGGCGCGCGCGACCCTGACGGCGAGAGTTCACGAATAGGTAAGCTAAGGTCGCGTCGCCGGGCCGCTTGGAAGGGCACCCCCGGGGACCTCCTGGTGATCCCAGCTCTGCACGCAGTCCCTCGGCCCCATCCATCTCTCCCGAATGGGGTTAAGGAGGGCAGATCTGGCGGGCTTAGCAGGTGCGCAGCCTGCAACCCCACACCCACCCTCCCTCCGAAATAAAAGTGGCTGACGCTTCCCGGGAACTTCCCAGCTTTTCAGCACCCAGGACAAGAGCTGCTGCTGCGGCGCCGGAGAAACGCACCGGGCCGGCTCTGCGCTCGCGTCCCGCCGCCCTCTCCGTCATCCCCAGCCGGGACTTTCCCTCCCGCCGGGCTCTAGGTCCTGCAGTCCCACCCTCCGGGAAACCGCTTCCAAAAACACCTTCCCAAAGCCAGGAGAAAGGGTGTCCCTGGCCAAGGACTTCCTGCCCGCCCTGCCCGGGTTGGTTCCGAGGCGCCAGGGCTGTTTTTTCTTTACCGCCCATTTCTCTGCCTGTGTTTATAAAAAGCCTTAGGTTTTGATTTGGGTCTGGGAGATGACTTGGCTTCTGGACCATTTCTCCTCACTTTATATTTTACTTAAACTCTTAAGATAATTCGGGAGTTGCCCAGCAAATTAGTTTTTCTTCCTTTCTAACTGGACCTCTTGGATCTGATGTTTTTTCTGGTCTGTGATAATTAGTTAAGTAAATACTTTTTAAAATAAATAAATACTTTTTAAAATATCGAACAGTTCTTTTGCTGTGTTTGAACTACTCCTGCTCAGTCAATATGAATTTTTAAAAACTAGAGGAACACATACCCACAAAAACTGTGTATGAGGACTTTGGCATTAGCTTCTAAACAGCCTTTCTGAATAATCGTTCTCCTTTTAAAAATACTAATTATAAAGCATAAATGAATTTCATATCCCAGAGTGATGATTACTAGAATCTCTACAAGGATCGATTTTCTGGCCCCTTGTAAACTTCAGCTATTTTACTGTTGAAGCCACCAGGATTTGACACATCCAGACAGAACACACTAAAATAAAGTGTCACCATTTGGGGCTGGAATTGTGGCTCAGTGGTAGAGCGCTTGCCTGGCATGTGTGAGGCATGTGGATCCTCAGCACCACATAAAAATAAAATAAATTAAATAAAGGTATTGTGTTCATCCACAATTTTTTAATTTTTTTTTAAAAAAGTCACCATTTCATTCCTTTCCTTCCAAAATCCTTTAAAAATCTCATTGATCTGAAACTAATAATAGTGAAATACAAAGCAGAAATTGTTCTTCTCTCTGAGCATTTGGTGGCTCTTTACTACACCAACTTTTCAAAAATTTTAAGATGTATCTGAATGTTGAAAACTCAATGAATTAAGACAAACATATTCCAAGACAGAATGTGGTTCACCCCTTTTCACTTTGTTTTTTTGATTTTTTGTTTTGTTCTCTTTTGGTTTTGGTTACCTAAAATGAGTGACTGAAAAATCCTAACCACTGATATTTTCATCCTTTCATCAAAACTTTTTGACCCTTGTTAGCTTAAACATCCAGACCACATTTTATTTCCCTACACCACACAAAACAGCCCTTCCTATTCACTTAATAAAAATATATTGAGGTGTACTTTGTGCAGCAATGTACTACTGTAGGGCTCACCGAACAAAACTGCTCAAATATGGGGTGGGAGCCGGTTAATACCATAAAAGTGGAGCTTTCTAAGTTAAAAACTAAAAGGAATAGTGAAGTTGTCTTTTCAGAAATGATATTAGATATAACAGTATTCTCACTGATAGGCCAAGATGTCAATCTTACCTATAATTAACAAGGAACTTCTAGAGATAATATCTTTACCCTATAGAGTGGCCCTAATAATAGATTTTTATAAACAGCATACTTTTTCTCCTCCTTAAACTCACCTTTATAGAAGTCACATCCTTGCCCACTTCCTTAATCTGAGTTGTATTCTTTTTTATTGAAAGAAGTATCAGAGGTGTCCATGACAATGAAAAGTAGTGAAGAAGCAGTGAGAGCTAAGAAAGGGGACCAGAGGGATCCTCAAGTCATGTTCCAGGTTTCTGAGCACAGAGTTGCCTGAAGCTTTCCTCCAGGTTCAGTGGCATCTCTGTTCAGTTCAGATGATAAATTTTGGATTAACTCAAAATATATATGATCCCTGATTTACGATGGTTCTACTTAAACTCTTTCAACTTGAAGTTGGTGCAAAAGTGATACATATTCAGTAGAGTTCATACTTTGAATTTTTATTTTTATTTTTGTTTCCAGTCAGCCACATAGCCAAATGGGTGAGCAACTGATATTCTAATATCAGCTAAACTATTTGCAGCTAAAGTATGATGTTTGGTAGTTTGAGTGTGCTAATTGGTTTTGAACTTACATCTTCAATTTACTGTGCATTAATTGGGACATAGCTCGTTGTCAGTCAGGGAGCATCCATAGTGAGATATCTCAAGTCTTCTCAAGGACAAACCAATAAATAAATACTTTTTAAAAAACTCAAGCAGTTCTTTTGCAGCCCCACCTTCCCTCATTTAATCCTGCTCTGTGTTACAGAAAAAAAAAAAAGTTAAAAGTACTGATGTCAGAGACAGATTTACATTGGTATGCCATCCCATGAAGATATCTACTTCTCTCTTAAGGTGTAAATCACTCATCTTGACTAATAAAGGAGCCCAAAAGGAAATTAGATTTGATTCTTGTTACTTAGTCTCTGATTATTTTTAAAGGATTGGTAATTAGAGGAATACTACCTTATAAGACACCTTTGTCCACTCAGAGCAATTTAAAACATAAATTATTACAGAAGTGCCTCTCTCTGAGGCTCATACAGATTAAGTCACTCATGCAAATTAAATGGACCATATTCCTAAAAGAGATTAGGACACAACTAAAAATAAATCAAGGGCAAGTAGGTATTTTAATAAAACAAATTTCAAATGACTGAAGACAAAATTTTTTTTCTTGGCCAAACTTTAGTTGGGCTTCTTAACATCCTCCTAAGTCCTTGGAGAAGGTAACCTTCCTGGTAAAATCCAACTGTGGCAAAGAACCCTCCACCCTTGTTACCTGGTCAGTGTTGGGTAGGATTCTTCATACTCCACCCCTCCCCAGGTGATGTCTGATCACCCTGGCCTGTCTTAATGAAGAATCCTGTTAGGTCAGTTAAACTAGATTCTTTATCCCTAATATTTTCTTTTAATAATTTTCCATCCATTGACTCCCACTTTGTTCCTTGGTTGTTAGAGTCTGTAAACAAGTCAGGATGGCGCCTGGCATTTTGCCAGAGAAATGTTAGAGTTCGTAAACAAGTCTGGATGGTGCCTGGCAAAATGCCAGAGGGAGTGGTTTGAGAAGTAACAAAACCGAGCCATTAAGTGTGGAGATTCCTTATTGGTTGACTGATGTATCTAGTTTATGCTAATTAGGTAAGCTGTGTGGAATGTATAAATACTGCTCCTGTCCTGCAATAAATGGCTTCCACTCCTGCTGTATCAACGTACACAAGTTGTTCGTCACCCCCCGGTTATTTTGCTGAAGCCGGACTGCGGCAGTGTCCTGCAATAAATGGCTTCCACTCCTGCTGTATCAACGTACACAAGTTGTTCGTCACCCCCCAGTTATTTTGCTGCAGCCGGACTGCAGCACTTGGTTGCAAATTTCTGCTTCCCCTTACCTATTCAGAGTTGAGCCCACTCTGTAACCTCCACTTCAGTATCACAACAGTCCTGTTAAATTAAGTCTGCCTTGGGGCTGGGGTTGGGGCTCAGTGTTAGAGTGCTTGCCTTGCATGTGTGAGGCACTGGGTTTGGTCCTCAGCACCACATAAAAGCAAACAGATAAAGGCATGTTGTCCATCTACAACTACAAAAAAAAAAAAAAAAAAAAAAAAATTTAAGTCTGCCTTACTGTGCTTTAATGAATATCAATGAGTAACTCTTTCTTTAATACTTTGTACTTTTTCAGCCTAATGATACCTACACCCTGTTCAGGTTTGTAAGTGATCCAGTGCAATGTAACAAAGGCAGAAATTCAGCAAAATGATTGGGAAAAATTTATATTAAAAATTATTTTTTGTTATCTAATTATTTAAATATTGCCTGTTCTTAAGGAAATATTAAACAGGAAGAAGAATCAAATTACCACACCACGCTCTGGGCCCATAGTACAATAGGCAACATGTGTTCAAAGAATCTGACCCAACATCTGGCAAGGCAGGTATGGGGTAGTTTAGGGTGCCACATGGTTGGAGGGGATGGCTGTGGCCATCCCTGGGCCCAGACTTGTGGCAGAAATGTGGCAGCAGAAGTTGCAACCCAGGAACAGACAGAGGAGACTTCTTGAAAGAAAACTGGATCCTCCTTCCATCCCTGGATCCCATCTTTGGCATCTTCACAGAATAAAAAGAGTATCAAAAATATTTGTGATCTTGCACCTCCTGTCACTAGACAATGAAACTCTGTTAACATGTTAGTACAAGGTAGAGGCATATGTGTGTATTTTGCAAGAAAGCATATTGTGAGGGTGGGGGGCGGGTATCTTTTTCCTGTTACCCTTTTTTGGTTCTTGGCTTGGGTCTGTCACAAAAGATAGAATAACAAGAAAAATATATAAATGTGTTTAATATATTCAATGTAAGTTTTACAAGATACA